AGATTTCTGATCATTTCTAATGCTTTTTTTTTTTCTATTGGCAGCACCACGAACATGCACTAAAGTAATTAAAGTAATTAAAGTAATTACTCTCACTGTGTGTACCTGTACCTACATTTCATCCCAATACATTTCCTACCAACACTCTGAATGAAGAAATTTTGTCCTGAGGAGCTGCTATATTTAAACTCATGTATTTTCTAATACTTGTTCTGTCTCTCTTTCCTGTCTTCTTTGTCTGTGTATTCTGTTTTTTGTAGAGCTGCAAAGAGAAAGATTCACTGGATCCCAGCACTTAGAGTGAACAAGACCTTTGGACATCCAGTCTCCTGTCAATGCAAAGGGAACTAGATGAGGTTGTCCAGTGGTTTTCCTCGGTGCTGAGAGAACTCTCCATCCCATGGTACACACAAGTAAAAAAACATTTTAAGCTGTGTTGTACCCTGTGTTTATCACTGAGGGATACCACCCTTAATCAGCCATCAGTTAGACCGTGAACCACTGCTCATGATATTTTGGTTCAAGGCTTCATCCAGTCTTCAGCCTGCTTTATRTTCCATTTATCCAGAGCATAGCTTAGCAATTTGGCTCTAAGGAGACTACAGACAACTGTGACAAAGGCCCTTCTAAAGTCAAAGCACACAGAATCTCCTGCAGAAGGCAATCATACTGTTCARGCATGGTTTCCATTTCCCCTTGGTTAATCAGTGGTGGTTCTTCCAAACCTTGCCTTTCCTGTACTTGGAGATCGTTTCCAGACGGATTTGTTCTGTCACCTTCCACGGCACTGAGATGAACCTTGTAGGAAAATTGTGTCACTAACAGAGACTGGCACAAACAAGAAGACCAGCTGCAGGGATTCACTAGGTATTTGYTGCAAATCAGAGTTCATTAGGGGTGTCTTTTGCCATAGTCACCACCAATCCAGTTTTAGGAAACCAGTAGATCATCGATATTCCAAAAACAGAGGAAATCTCTCCTCGACACAGCAGTGAAGCATGCCTATCAAAGGAGGCATCAGAAAGATAGCTTTAAGGAGAGTTCCTCACTAGAAGGCAATCACAGCATCATTCTCACAGAGCATGCTGCCGATGGATTGCTCCCTATGCCGTCTTCCTGCACAAGGGAAGTATGTGTTTCCGAAAAGAAAAACACGACACCAATCATGACAGAACTATACTTAATAGCAAAGCTGCAAATTCTTTCAGATGACAAAGTTCATCTGAAGAACTTTTGACGTTTGCCACTGTGGGGGCAGCATGGCTTTTCCCACCCCACTCCTAAGCACATGAAAGAYAGGACAACCCCTCAAAAAGACATTTAATTCAATAGCAATAGCTTGCAAGATCTTTACTGAAAGCTGTTGCTGAAAACAGCTAGTTCTTGTTTTTTGTAAAACCTCTCTTTTGCCAAAGAGAAGACATTGTTGCAACGATAGAGCAGCACTTCTGCTTGAAGAGAAAATCCCCTGAGATAAATCAGAGAGAAAATGAATCAAGACTAATATGGTTCTTGCTGGTGCAATCCTTTGAAAGTCTAACCTAAAACAAAATGCTGGAAGGGATAATGCTCAGGAGACAGGAATCACAGAACCTCCTGRAAGTGATCTGCATGGCAGCAGCCAGAAAGCAGAAGGGAAAAATCAGATTGAATGAGAGCAGGCAATTGCACTCGCCTTGGAGCTACACTTGAAGCAGGAGATGGCAGTCCTGCTGTCAATGCCCTGTGCTTTTYTGGGAAAACAGGAGGATTTATCCTACTGTTTCTAGAAAGAAGGTGCCTTGGAACTTTTATTCCTGCAGTGAAATATACCTGTTATTCTCTGAGGCCCTTTTTGCTGTGGGGAAAGCGTGCATAGCASTGAGGGCTGCAAGGTAATGCCCTGCATTGACCCAGCTCCTGCTCGKGGAAGAGTTGGAGTAGGGACCCCTGCACATAGGGTTCAAGCCTGCTCTGCTGGTGGTAAAGAGACCTCCCCATTGGGACATCAGTGGGAGTGGCAGGGATCAAACCTGGCTCCTCCAGCCCTCCTTTGTGCTAGCCCCATCTTACCTGCCTGCTGGGTGCCTGATGACATCACAAGGTCTTTGGTGACAGTGATTTGTAGCTGATGATGTGTGCAATCCRTTGCCCGCTGCACACTCGTTCAAGGCTGTTCCTTGGTCTTGGCAGGCRCTAGCCCAGCTCAGTGGAGAGTTAGAGCCTTTACTTGCAGAGATTTGACTTTGGGAGGGACCAGAACCATGGTCAGCCAGCATCTCTGCCTGGTACTTGCTCTTCTCTTGCCCTTGTTGCACACTGGCAGCCTGGATCTTGAAGGTCGCCCCAGCTGGGCCCAGATCGCATGGGACATCCTCCCCAACGACCTGGAGAAACTGGAGAGCAGCCCGCAGCATCAACACTGCTGCCTCCCCTACCCCCTGGACCAGCTCTGGCCCTTCTGTGGCCAGCTGGAGATAAGCCTAGTGGTGCTGCGGGCGATCTCCCTGTGCAGCCAAGCCGTGGGCTTGCTTAGTGGTCTTCTGCTTGCAGGCTGGTTTTGTCACAAAGCCAGAAGACGCTGGAGACAGGTGAGTGCAGAGGATGGTCTCAGACTAAGATGGAGAGGTAGGGACATGCTGCCCCTTGGAGGTCCAGGTCGTCAGGACGGAAACACAGGTGCTGCCTTTGTCTTCTCTGTACAACCTGCTGCCCCAATCAACACTAGGAGCGTTGAGTTTTGGAGATGAGGCCAAGCTGCCAGACAGATCTAATGCCCTGAGGCCCCTGTCCTTTTCATCCTGTTACCCTGTCATTCCAGGAGACAGGACAGAGCCCCTCAACTCCCTTGGGGACCACGAGCCAGGATGAGTGCCCCTGCAACTGCTACGACGTGCTCTGCCAGCTGGAGTCAAATACCACCTGGACAATCAAGTACCTGAGGCACCTGTGCCACTGGCACCCAAAGAAGAGCAGTCTGCAGACAACAACTAAGGAGAAAAAGGAGGAGGATGAGGAAGAAGAGGAGAGGGTTTTCCCAGCCTGCAAATACAGCCACCACTCCAGTGTGGCTTCGGAGGTGCTTGGAGATTAAAGGGGATTCTGTGAGTGCTGCTGTCCCTGTGATTGGAAGGAGGCTGATTCAGAAGCAGAGAGGGGAGATATGTGTGGTCCCTTCTGGCAATCCATGCTCTCTTACTCCTACTCTTCTACTTGGGGAGGTCCCTGCCAGACCCTGAACCTCGGATTTGAAACTTGGGCAGAAACACATCACACACGCACGCTAGAGAGAGCTTTCTGGTCCAGGTGCCACACTTGGGAGATTTAAAAAGGCCCAAGTGTTGATATGGGTACGGGATGGATATCTTGTCCAGGCTGATATTCGGAGATGCCATGAGGGTGGTGTGCTCATGTATGTGGAAGTGGGGGATATTTGCACTCATGCCTGTCAGGCGTGACCAGGGGGAAGAAAAGCACTAGGGCTTTTGGTGGGTGCCAATACAGACACAGCTCTGTCCATGCCAGTCTGAGTGGGCTACAAAGCAGCACCTGGAGTGAACAGGAAAGGCTGCCTCACTCAAAGATGCAGATACATAGATACATAGATAAATGTAAACTCTGGGGTGGGCCAGGCTGCAGGACAATGTCCAGTCCTAGCCATTGCCTCACCCAGCTTTCTTGACAATTGATCCCCTCTGCAAAGGTGCTGGTGAGAGTGGGCAGTTGTACTTGCCCTGGAGTCCCTCTTGAGGCAGGAGATGGCAGTTTTGCAGTCAGCAGCCTGTACTTTTTTGGGAAAACAGAGAATTTTATCCTAGTCTTTCTAGAAAGAAGGTGCCTTGGAGATTTTATTCCTGCAGTCAAATATGCCTGTTGTTCTCTGAGGCCCTTGTTGCAGTTGGATAAGCGTGTTTGCTTCAGAGGCTACCCCTCCAGTAACTGGCTGGGACCAGCTGAGCTGGGGTCCAGCTCCTAGTCCTCTCTGCACAGCATCAAATCCCAGCACTGTGTTGCCAGGAATGCCATGGCTGCCCATAGGCACAGCACTGAGGGCTGCGGGGTCATGCCCCGTATGGATCTACCTCCTGCTTGCTGAAGATTTGGAGCAGGGATCAACATATGTGGGGTTCAGGTCTGCTCTGCTTGGGGGGAACACCAGTTCTGCTCTGCGGAACACCAGCGGGAGCGGCAGAGCTGAGCTCAGGGAAGGGTTAGAGCTGTCGCTTGCAGAGGTCTCTCCTTGAGAGGGTCCTTGGATCATGCTCAGCCAACATTACTCCCTGGAATTTGCTCTTCTCACAGTCTTGTTGCACACCAGCACCCTTTATCTAGCGCATGAAATGCACTATCAATCAGGTCTGTAGCAAACAGAGGTGACTTTTGATCTGTTACAAAGCCCAGGCTGATCTCCTAGCTCCAAAACCATGACTGTAATTTCTTATTTGCACATCGAGTAGTGATTGGAGAGTGTTGTTCTTTCCATTATCTCCCTTGTCTTTTGCATATCAGTGCTTTTTCATTATTATTGTTTGTTTGTTTGTCTCTCTGTGTTTTCCTTAATGCTTTTCCTGGTAGTTATTGCTCCCTTTGCACTGAGAAGTTCCTTGATCTGCTAACTGCAGTGAAGCAGATTCTCTCACCCTCCACCGTGTCCCCGACATTCTTTATGGCCCCTGGCCAAAATGACCCCTGACTAGTTCACATGATGAACCTAAGAGATCTGTGCAGCACCCAAATCTCCCATTCCATCCATAGGGTGACCCTGGGGGCCTCATTTGGGAAGACTAAGTAATAGGACTGGCAGTAGCTGTGAGCAGAGGACTGAGGAAATCAACCGAGGGGACTGTAGGGTCTAGAGCGTGGTCTCCACTCCTTGCACTTCAGGACACTAAGGTCCTGATCCTCCCCCTGATCCTCCTCCTCTCCCCTCCCCACCGCCAAGGAACTCAGGCATCTCGGCCCCTCCTTGGAACCCCACTGGTCTCTATGATCCAGGTGTCTGCGTGCTGTGGGGCGGGGCCATGGGGTGGCAATGGACACCAGTTATAGTGGCACTGGCCCTCTTGCTCCCCGGGGAACAAAGCTCTTGGATGGAGGGGCCTGGATGGTGGCGGTTGGTAGTCTTGGCTTCCTGGCTGCCTGGAGCGCCCCCCTGCCTGCTCTGCTTCGGGCCGCCCCTGGAGAGGGCCCGTCTCTGCCGGGACGTAACTGGGGAACTCCCTGGAACGCCCCAGCACCGGCRCTGCCTTGAACACCTCCTCCAGGCTGCTGCGCCCCTCGCCTCTGTCACTGTGGGTGTGTAGCGGGAGCTGTGGATGCTGATGGTGAACCCTGCCCTGCTGTGGACCCTTTCCTGAGCAGGACTCCCACCCCAATTGTGTGTCTACAACCTTGAATGGGTCCTTTATCCTGAACAGGACTCCCTAGTCCTCCAGGGACCTCCATCCCAACCAGGGCCCCTAGTGAACCAGGACGCTCTACCCTGACCAGGCACCTGCTGGCACTGCCCAGAACCCTGAGTACCCTGGGACTCCACTCCAATCAGGACCCCAAGGACTCACTGTCAAGCCAGGAGAAAGAGTTCCTTTCTCCTAACCTGTAATCCCAGGGACCTCACTAGGGTCCTTCATCCCTCTTTGGGATCTCCTCCCCAACTCTGACTTGGATGCCAGAGATTCCCAGGGACCCCAAATCTGACTTGGGTCTGGGTACCATACAACCATGACTGGGACTGCCTGGGACCTCCAAACTTTGACTGAGACCTCAGGGACCCCAAGGGATTCATGACCCTTCCCAGCAGCTCTCCTCAGGTCTGATTGGGACCCCAGAGACCCACCTTTTACTGGAACCTCCTAAGTCTGACACTCTACTAGTCCGAGTGCCCCTGTTCTGGTTCCAGGTTCAGAGCAACGTGAGGATCTTCAGGAGATTATTGTGGATGCACTGCGCTTCCTGGAGTTTCAGGGGGGCACGCGTGAGCAGGGGAAATGTGGAACGTAAAGGGGTGGGACATGCTTAGGGGATGAGATATGGAATATGGGACACAGGACCAATGTGAGGAATGGGACACAGAGGCCTTGAATGAATGCTGGGCAGGAGGATCCATGGGAGGCTAGGGGCTGCAAGGAAGCATTTGAATACTCCTGGGGACTATGCCTGTGGGTTTTGTGGGGTCTAAGGGATTTTAAGGAATATTTGGGAATAGAAGACACTCCAGAATGACATRGAGTCCAGGTGATTTGTATCTGAGGTCTCTAGGGTCTGAGGAGTATGTGAGAATTTAGGGGATGGCGGGTATGGCTTCACCTTTGTTCCCTGGACTCTCTCAGAGCCCTTTGAGGTATCTCTGCAGGAAGCTGTTGATGGAATCTGGATGAAGCTGAGACAACTAGAGGAAGGTACAGGTTCAGTAGGGATGCCCATCTGGGACCCCCACTCTGGAGACTCTCACTCCAGAGACCCTCCCCATCTGTCTCTGGAATGGGCAAGGGATGGGTCCACCACAGCAATGGGAAACCCCRGTAGTGCCCAGTCTAACGTTGGTTTCCCCCCTCTCACCAGCTCCAGCCTGTGTCCCGCCCTGTGGTGAGTGCCAGTCCCTCCATCCCCTGTCTCCCATCCCGCTGCATGCCTCCTGTGTTCCCAGGACTGCCAAGACTCTCCCTCCCAGGGTACCAGCTGGCCGCCCGCATCTTCCAGTGTGCAACCTGTCGCCTCGTGGACTGCCAGTTTCCCCTGGATTGTCCAGGTAAGGGGGGCCCAGGGGCATTCAAACAGGGCTGAACMAAGTGCCATTCCCAAGCTGAGCACATCAGAGGTGCTGGACACCATCCTCTTTGCATGTGGGCATGCTTGCCTGAGCACTTGAACATACAGAAGTCGATATGCCAGCCCATGCCCACCATGAGGACATGTGGATATAAACAGATGCCCATGAGCGCACCAGCGTTTCTGAGTGTGCATCTGCCTGTGCCTGTAGTAGAGGACGTGCGGACCCGCGAGGGTGAAGCTGTCCTGCTGCACTGTGTCGTGCCCTTTGCCACCCCGCCAGACCTGCCCGTCACCTGGATGTTCGCTAAGGATGTGAGTCGCACGTGCACATGCAAGGGGTGGCTCGGCAGGCAGGGGTGTGCACAAGAGGGCTGGGCAGCAAGGTCTGCATGTGTTTGTGTACGTGCTTCTCTGCTTGACCTGGGCTTTGCTAGTCCCTGGGCTGTAAGCAGTATGAATGTGGGCAAATGCTCACCCACGTGCCGGGTACACGCAAGCAGGAGACAGACCGTGTGTGCAGATTTGACTTCTGTGCATTCACGTGGGATGTGAGTGTGTGTGAATACACTCACAAGGGGCCCAGAGAGTGAGTGTAGGACATAAGTGTGTGCATGTAGACGTGTGGGCAAATGACGTGAGTCGTATGCCTGGGCCACACCATGCTAATGTGTCCTCTCATGCTCCAGCTGCGCACACAGGATCTGACACTGTTTGAAGAGCTGCAAGGGGGAATGAAGGGACCTCCTACACTTATCCTTCAGGACCCCCCTCTGGGAACCATTGCCTGTAGCCTGGGGACCCATGATGAGACAGTGGCCCGCAAGTTCTTCTTCCTCAACGGTGTGCCTAGGCTCCTGGGTCTTGGGGGGTCAATAGTGGCAACAGGGTTGCGGTGTGGAGCAAAGCCCTTGGATGCAGAAATCCAGGAAGGTGTGTGTATGCCTGTGAGTGTGTGTGTGTTGGGTAGGGGAACGAGCAGGTTACCAGGACACTCAGGTCCGTGGTGGGAAGGTGGAGTGGAACAAGGATTCCCCAATGTCTGTCTCCCCACAGGACAATTAGAGTGTATAGGGCGGAGCAGGGGCACCAAGACATTGGGGTCATTGTGGAAGCAGTGAGGTTTGTGGAGTGGAACAGGAGCTCCTGGACACCTGTGAAGCTGGTGTTGGGACAGGGGGGAGTGGCAGGTTATGCCCTCACAGGTATCTTGATCCTTGCAGTGTCCGGACGCACCATGGAGGCAGAGCGGGAACTCCAGGCCCAGTTCAGGGCTGTGCTGCACTGGCCTCACAGGAGACCCCCACGGCCCAGACTGCTGCTGGGGCTGGAGCTAGCCCTCAGCTCAATGGGGCTCATCCTGCTGCTGGTGTGAGTCTCCCTGACCTGGGAAACCCAAGCCACTGGGACCCAGATTTACCCACAGATTTACCTGGGTTCCTCCCTGGACTCCCAACCCTCCAGGTTTCCCTAGAAAACCTCAAGGGGAGCCAAGGGAAGTAACAGACACCTGGGTCCTGCCTACACTTCTGGGGCTCCCATGCTCCACAAGCTCATTTTGAGACCCCCTTCTTGCTGCCAGGACCACCACAAATCTCTTCTCTTCCTCTGAGACACTCAACAGCTCCCGGGACCCGCCGTATTTCCTTAGTGACTCCAGATCTTACTCATTGCCCCTTAGACATTCTTTGGGACGTATCTATCTAGTTGCCTCAAGAAACCTCAAACCACATACTACTCTCCAGGGCCTTTCAGTTGCCCCATAGATCCTCCAGTTGCCCCACAAGCCCTTTTTGAGACTTTACCAGTTGCCTCCAGATCCCCTAGTTTTCTTCTGGGTGGCTGGAGACCCTAGGGTACCTTCCTGTTCCCTCATATGAATGGGAGAAGCAGGAGTCTCCTGCTCTTTCTTGACACCTTTTTCTTTCCTCCAGTGCCGCCTGGCAATGGCTTTGGAACTCCCGAAAGACTCCCCAGATCAGTGATCACCTGGCATCCCATGAACTGGTCCACCAGAGTTCCCCCGGGGAGCCTGAAAACGCAACTTCACCTTAAGGGAGCCTAAGGGAGTTTGGCACATGGGTCTGCTCCTGGGGACCAAAATTCCTGCAATTGTTCCTCTTTTGATGTGGRGAGGAGATTAATTTGGACACTTGGATCCTTCCGCCAACTCTTTGGTTGGATGGTGCAGAGGGCAACTTGATGTTTTTGTTATAAATTATAGCTACAATTTTTCATCTCTAATCATGTAAAGAGGTTCTTTGGGGCAGAAGGTTCAGTCCCACAGGGGGCTCAGGAGACGGGGGAGCCGTGTGCTGAGGATCCACCATGCCCTGCAGGAACTGTGTGGCAGATCCCACCCCTGCAAAGCTGTGTGCTGGGYACTCACCCAGAGGAGCCGTGTCCTGGGTCCATGCACAAGGGGAGCCACAGGTGTGCTCAAAATTCGGCAGCACGACTCTGGAGAGTTCAATAAGAACAAGAACAATAATCCTAAGTATATTTGATATTGAATGCACGACCGAACAACACACAAAACCAAACTAAGTAATCTAGGCTGAATTTCAAATTGYGTGCAAAGTAAATCAAATACAAACTTTTGATTATTACCTGATATAGGGAAGATGATAATCACCTGAGATAGTCAAATATGGTATGAGGTATAACAACTGCCAGATTAACAAAAAGACTTTTACAGAACTAAATTAGTAGTATCCCTGGGTATTTATTATCCTCAAGGTCAACTGTTACCAAGTGAAATTCCATCAGTGATTAGATGCTATTTCTAATAGATAATTCCATGTTCATAGGGAATACAACCATATAATTAGTACTAAGGGATGACAGAAATTTTCATATTGGTTAACTGATGGAAGTGCAACGACAGGTTAGTTGTTCAGAGATGTATTAAAAGAAGACCATTAACAATGGAGTATAAAATTTAGTATCAACCTGACAAAAGTTGCAAGTGTAAGATTGTGGGAATGTGGATTACAAAAATAGTGTACATATAACAAGACCTGAGGTCTAAATAATCTTTGTCAGGAATGGACAACTGAACAGTTCTTATGTGCAATTAAAGCGTGTTATGTCATCTTAAAAATCACAGGGGTCCGGAACGRTGGCTSTGACACAGCTTAGGCATTCCAGTGTCAACTCGGATGCAGTGGGAGCACCACACTTGAGCTCAGAGAGGCAAGGGCCAAATCACCAGTGAGAACWGYGCCAGCAGCAGCAGCTCCCAGGTGCTTCATGAGCAAGGAATGCTTTGGGTTTCCCCGGGGACTCGAGGACACAGCATAAAAGCGTGTGCTGCACCCGCTTCATCCAGAAGAGAGCAATGCTGGGAATGCTGGGGCCTTTGCAGGATTCAGGTGCCCAGCGTAAAGATCGGAGATCAGTGGGGGAAGATCAGTGTTTAATGCCTGGTGAGGAGGGTCTCTGCAGTGAGGCATTCACTGCCTCCAGGAGGCACGTGGGGAGAGTGGAGAACACACTTGTTCTTAAGGCAGAAGGAAGGAATAGAGCAGGAAAACTTCTGTGGCCTCAGCAGTGGGGAGGAGGTGGACTTCCATAAGGAAAAGTCTCTTCAGTGGCATCTGTGTGGAGAGGCAAGGAACGTGGGGCTGCATCGTGGSTGTAGATCAGGATGAGGTGGGAGCCCAAGCACAGCGCTCGTCTCGGCACCAGACCTCCCATCTACTTSTGTTGTCCCTCTGCCAAGGCACAGCTCTGCTGAAGGAAGCTGCCCATCCTGAGGGCACTATCCCCTTTGCAAGGAGCAGGAGAGGCTTCTGCARAGCGGCCAGGTGTCCTCCAGAGGAGCCCTCTGGCTGYGTGGTGCCCACGGCCCTGGAGGAAGGCTGCTCCGCGGCTTTGCCAGGGACACAGGGAAAAGGGCACGTGTCAACCTGGGCCATGTGGCTCAGTGATGCCAGTGAAGAAGYARGAGGAGGAGGTCCCATGGTGTAATGGTGAGCACTCTGGACTCTGAATCCAGCGATCTGAGTTCAAGTCTCAGTGGGACCTTGGCCTTTTGCCTCACTGGGAGCTTCTTGCRACTGGTTGCACCGTTTGTACTCCTGCGTTGTTCTTGGCTACATTGCTTCTCCCATTATGGACTCRCTTGCTTCTTTTGCTCTCCTCCTGCTCKCTTCTTTCACCATTTCCACATCACAGGAGCCCACTTGTGCTGAGACTGGAAACTGCTTCTGTTCACCTGCCCTTTCTGTATTTCACTTTCACACATGCCAGCTTTTTGCTGCCATGTCATTAATGCTCACCRCTAATGACACAGTTTTGCCTTTCTGCTCTTGTTGGCATAAACCTCACCCTTGGGAGACAGCAAGTTGGACAGGATACTGAAGTTCAAAAGGAGCACAGGGATTCATGAAATATTTCTCCCTCACCTCATTCCCTATCGCATTTGCTGACTGCTAGCAGTGTCTATTGGCACTCTCCTTGGCAAACCCCCTTTCGCCCTCTGCCCCTCCGSCCCCCACACTTCCCAGTCCTGACGCTTCCTCGGCAGGAAATGTTTTGCACAGGAAAATGGCATTAGGCTTCCAACTTCATGTCCTTCTCTGAGACAACAGGCAACCTGGTGGGCTTCCAGCCCATGGAAATATGTGGACATCTAATGCACAATTCATAAACACTATCCCTGTCTCCTACCAGGTAATAATTAGGGCAGGCAATGAGAAGCTACCGCTTCCTAATCATGTCTCCAAGCCCTGCTGAGTACATGGGCACAAGAAATGAAGACCTCCAAAGCCAGCGCTTGCGAGCTTTCAGAGGAGGGACTCAAGGCTGATCCTGGGAGACATAAGGGTGCTATGAATACCGCCCAGCAGTGCTCTTTACCTCTTAAGATCACAAATTAGGAAACCTCACCTTTGCGTGGGGACTTGATCAG